GAAAAGTCACCAGAGTTCAGCACCGGGGCTGCACCTCCACAGGCTGTCCCTAACCTCCGTCTTTCTTTCATCCATGCAGATCCAAATTGTCGGTGCTCTCGACGCTTCCCCTAAAGCTCCTCCGACTCCCCCAAAAGCCACTCGTCCCCAACTTTTATTGTCGACGGCGAGCTCTTCCTGTGCAAGGTGAGGCCTGGTGCTGGAGTCAGCAAGATGTCGAGATGCCGTTGCCACCTTCGTTGCGAGGGGAACCTCCACATGGTGCAGCTAGGGCGACTTCTGGAGGCCGCTGACATGGTGCTCGAGATGCAGAGCCACGGGGTCCTGCTCCTCGTGGATACAGCAAACTCGGTGCACCAAGTCGGCCAGGAGCGCTCCTGCTAGGAGCATCCTCCATCTTCAGCATCATGGGGAGCATTCTTACTTGCTTAATAATTTTGGTTTTGTTCTTCTGATTCTTGATGCCTAGTATGGTGGTTTTGTTTGTGAGTACATTGCGGGGCAATATATTGAGAGCACATGTAACGGATGACAGAAGTAATGGATGTAATTGCAAGTCTGCAACATGAAAATCATGGTGTATATGCGACCTGAAGGTATCTAGTTCTTATCTAATTTCATTATAACAACTTATTTTAGTAGTGACAATGGAATCAATTTCAATATTGTGCCTGTGTAGCATGCACGTACAATTATCCTTTCGTTTTCTTCTGGTATTTTTCATCTGAGTGATCATTTGTAAGCTAAGCAAGGCAATTCACAGCATTATGCATCAATATGATTAGATATTCTTGTTGTTGATTAACAATGTGCAAGCTAGATATCCATTTATTTGGTGCAAGCTAGTTGAATATTCAGTTATTCACTACTAATTTTTGACCCTATCGCATCACTTCGGGTACAATGGCAGGGAAAGGGAAGAGGCAGATGGAGAAAAAGAATTGAACCGGTATGTATATAATCAGTAGCAGTGGTAGGTAATTTCCACCAATCCCATGGGGAGATAAAAAAACATTGCAAGTGTTTTTGGAACACCTCTTGAGGAGCTCCATGAAATCTACGAATCTAGCTACTAAGGGTCTATTTGGTAGAGCTCCACTAGCTCCAGATTCTCTAAAACTAGATCTGGATCCAATTTTTATAGCCAAACGCTTTAGGATCCAGCAGCTATACTATGGATCTGCTCCGCCAAAATGGTGGATCTGCCTCCAGATTCACCAAACTGGTGGAGCAGCTTAAGGGGTACTCCATCAAATCCAACTTTGGTGGAGTTGGAGAAAGTTACCCACCATACCACTCATTACACAGAAAAACGGTTCGATTCTTTTTCATTCCGTCTCTTCTTCCTCCCGATCTCCGCCGCGAAGAACCCACCGAGCATCCACGCCGGCCACACCGCACCCCACCGGCCAGCTGTCCCGCCCACGCCGGCTGCCGACCCCCTACGGCTGCGCCCGCCAATTGCGGCCACGCTGGACAAGGCTGAGGCCGCTAGCCGATGCCACGCCCGCCGGTCGGTACTACGCCTGTAGGGCGGTGCCAGGGCTGCTGTGGCCGCACCTGCCCACCTTCGAGGACACTAGCCACGCGGTTCCGCCGGTCACGAGCTCCGCCTCCTTCTGCCCCGCTGTGTTGCACGGTACGGAGAAGAAAGAGATGGAGAGCTCTGACGCATGGGGCCGTAGTGGCGGTGAGATATAGAGGGAGGTGTTGTTGAACCAAATGCTTTTGGCGAATATCAGATCCACGGTGGATCTAGGTGAATCCTGGATCCAGATTCACTTTTTTGAGTGGTGGAGCTCTGTCAAATAAGCCATAAATCTATGTTTTTTTGTCGATCTGGATTTCATGGAGCCATGGTGTTTACGAAAATTTTTTGTAGAGTGGGGCTGTTTTTTGCAGATTTGAAAGTGATCGAGCTCTTCTTGGGCCTAGATATGGATGTCCCGTGGGATTCAAGCATTAACTCTCATAATCTCAGTTTGTTAATTAATTTCGTACTTAACCCTGTTTTTTATAAACCTTTTACTTTTTTGATAGACACTACTACAATAAAACTTAACTGAAGTGTTTGGCAAAGGGGCTCAGAGGCGGGCAGGCATTTCAACCGCCTCGGTTAATCCCTAGGATTAACCGAGGTGGTCATTTTTTTTTAACTGAGGCGGTCACAATCAGCTGCCTCACAAAATTGGTTTACCGAGGCGCTTAAAAATAATGGCCTCCTAAAATCTATTAACAGAGGTGGGCCTATAAGAGGCCCACCTAAAAAATGCCTCCATTTTCAGAGGCGGGCCTCCGTTAATGTGGCCGAGGCCCAGCCAAAGCCCATAACCACCCATCCTATCGGGCTTATATAAATAACAGAGTTAGGGTTCACTCACTTCTCACCCAGCCGCACTCAAATGGAGCCAGCCGTCGCACTCTCCTCAGCCTCCCGACACAAGGGGCGGCGGCGACCGCATCTCCTCACATACACGCGACCCATCCCGCTCCCTACCTCTCGCTCTCCCTCTCCCAGCCTGACACAAGGGGTGGCAGCGGCCGTACTCTCCTCATGTACGCGTGCCCCCTCCCCCTCCCTCCCTATCCCTCTCCTTGCCCGGCGACGCCCCACCACTCCCCTCCTGGCGGCGCTCCTCCCCTCCTCTCCTGGTGGTGGCGCTGTGGCTGGAGCTCGTGGCAGCGCGGATGGTGAGGGCCGCAGTCGCACCCTTGCTCGCGGCTCGAGGCTGATGCAGCGGCGGGAGGCAAGATCCGACGGCGCTCCTCCCCTCCCCTCCCTTGCTAGCTGATCCGGTGGCCGGAGGCCGGATCTTTGGGGTAGGCGGCCGTTTCTCGGCGACCGGAGGCCAGATCCCGGTGGTACGATCCAGCGAGGGTGTTGTCACCGGCGTGCAGCTGCGGCGGCAGCCCGTGGATGGGCTCGCTAGGCTTGTCCACGGGTTTTCTTATTTTTTTTTGTTTTTTTATTTTATTAACTGAGGCGGGCATTTGAACCGCCTTAATAAATCATTGATTTACCGTGACCTTTCGACCAAGGCAGATAAGTTGCCCGCCTTGGGAAATCTCTTTTGCCCGCCTCAGTTAAGTTTATCGTAGTGGTGAGAATCAATCTTTGACTTAGCTTTAAAGTTGGGCACATTATACTTAGGATAGTCCTCCATAGGAAGAAGCTTGCACGTACCATCAAATAGTAAATATCTTTCCGAGAATGATCATGAATTGATATGCTGGAGGAAAACGTTAAAGTCCACTGGCAAGTCGGATTAACACTACTATAGAATCCGGCATCACTGCGGCATCATCACTGTCGGATTTGGGCCAACCGGCAGTGATGACCCTTCACATCTGGTTCCGGGCTTCAAAATCAGAAAATGATTGGAGATGGGCCAAAACCGGTAGTGAAGGTCCACATCACTACTAGTTTGTGGCTAAAACCGGCAGTGTGTGGACGGTCACATATCACTGCCAGTTCTATCCAAGAACCGTCAGCGATTTGGTGCTATCATTGTCGGTTCTAGCCAAGAACCAACGATGATAAAATGGCAGTACAAAAAGCTACCACCCGTCCTCTCCTCCCTCCTCTCTTCCATCCCGAGCACAGAGGCGCGCGTTTGGGCCTCTCCCTCCATTATTGCGGCGGCTCATCACCATGAAGCTAACTCTTGGATTTTGAAGAATGGCTTGATCTTTTTGCTTTAAGGTTAGTAAAAAGCATCCACTCCTTTGATTTTGTTGCTTAATTAGCGTTGATTTGATGGCTCGCTAGACTATTGTAATTTCTTTTTTATTTTGAGGGATCGAGATCTTGATAAGTACATTTGAACTGTAACCGTAACATTTGTAATGTTTAATGTTGATGGACCTGTCGTCTCTGTAGCGAATATAAAGCGAAATCCAATTCCACGAAAAAAGTATATAAAATAAATTATAAAACAATAAAATGTGAAAAAGAGATCACCGCCGGTTAGCACAAAACTAGCAGTGATGTAAAGAATGCACTGCCAGCTGGAGCTACGAGCCGGCAGTGTTGTTCAAGGCATCACTGCCGGTTTGTATGTCAAGCCAGCAGTGTTGGTCGAGCCATCACTGTCGGCTCGACCTTCCAGTCGACAGTGTTGCCACCACCAACACAGTCGGCCAGAGCCACAAGCCAGCAGTGATGGCTCGACCAACATAGCCAGCTTGAGCCACCAACCGACAGTGTTGGCTTGCTCAACACTGCTGGCTCGAGCGGCAACCGACAGTGTTGCCTTGACCATCACTGTCGGCTAGTGCCACAAACGGACAGTGTTGGCACAACTAGACGCTGCCGGTTGGTGTCTAAAATCGACAGTGTTGCCTTGACATCACTGTCGGTTTTCGGTTACCGATAGTGATGTGAACCCCCATCACTGCCGGTTCAAAATCCGGCAGTGATGGAGGGTTTTGAACCGACAGTGATGTGATGGTCTGGGGTAGTCTAATAAACAAGTATAATTGTGTTATAGTTTTTAGTATGATTTTTTTTTAAAAAGGTGCAAATTGTTTTCTAATCACAAACAAGTGCTATTTTCGACATTGGCCAAGTTTTTGAAATAAAGTTAGGTTACTAATAGTTTTTATAATATATTTTTAAAATATATTAAAATAAAGTATACCATTGCAACAATACTTGTCATGGTAATCTCTCTCGATCCTACGTGACTGAATCAAACACTGTGAAAAATGGGACGGACCCATCACGTAACCCTCAAAACAAATAAAGAGATTCCAAAGCAATGAATTCATAATATATAACCCAACAATTGGTCATGCTCTTTACCAGGGTGCCATGATGTGATATGTGCTCACTATCAGGCTAAAACATAAAAAGGAAATTGATTGAATTTAAACAGTAACATTCAGACAGGGTCAAACTGAAATTTCACCAATCCCAACAACATAAATTGAAGTCACTAGAACACTCAACATGCCATATGCTTTTATTTCTCTAGCAGACGTACTTGTTTGCTGAGCATTCATGGATACAGCTCAATGATGGATCGCAGGCCCAAAACCGGCATAATGTTGTAGTCCTTAAATCCAGCCTCAAGGAATATTTTCTTCCACTCTTGCTCATCTCGTTCAACCCCACCAATTTTCATGAGATGGAGATCATAGATTACTTGTGTCTCCAGAAGCTTGGTGTCTGATGGCTCAGACCCAACCACAATATCAATGATTATTATCTTTCCTCCTGCATCTCTAGAAGGGATAGCTTGCTTGCAATTCTTTAATATCTTGATACACTTGTCATCGCTCCAGTCATGCAAAATCCACTGAAAAAAGGCAATAATAAGCCAATTGTTGAGCATTATGTCTTGACAGTTTAACATGAACAAATTAAACATTTGTCCTTCCAATTTGTTGTACTTTCAGTTAGAACAGTATGCCCCTTAGACATATTTAGAAGCGAAGTGTGTGCCTAAAGTTCTAACAACACGATTTAGAAGCTCCATTTCATCTATCATATGAATCATTTGATCTGAAATCCAACCGTCCTTATTGCCAACTTCCACCTTCAAGTCTCAACCGTCTCTTGGTTTTGAAAGATTAGTCACCTTAAGTCTAGCAATACTTAAACTTGTATGTTATATTAACTGTTATTAGGGCCGGACAAAACGCAAAACCAATTCAATAGGCAGTTCGTTTGAATGAGTATTTGAACTCGCAAATTGAATTTTAGCAGTGTAGGCATAAAAGATAGTAGAAAAGAAACAAATATAACTACATGACGACATACCTTGAGGAAGACAACATTTGCTGGTGGAATGCTCTCAAACATGTCACCCCCAACAAACTGCACGTTGTCAATAGAACTGGAAGGAGCCTTGGCGACAACGTGATGGAGGTCCAGCACGGTACACTTCAAACTCGGAAACGCCACCGCAATTGCCATGGCGGCTCCCCCAACCCCGCCGGCGACATCGACCAGTGAGTCTATCCCGTGGAAGACCTCGCCGAACTCCCTCAAGACAATCTGCATCAGGAAGTGGCTGTCTGCAGCCATGGCGTTGTTGAACAATGCGTTGATTGCGTCGTCGCGCCTGCACACCTCCCACAAGGTTGTGCCGTACATCAGGGTGAATGGGCACGGGCCAGATGCCTGTTCATCTTCATCATGCCGGAACCACGCAGTGAGCCCCATGCTGAGCGGCGAGTCACGTAAGGGGCTAAGCACGTGGTTCAGCATAGGAGACAAGCTCGCCGTGGCCGAGCTCTCGCCGCCATCGTTGCTGATGACGAGGAGGCAGGACGCTGTTGTCAGCTTATAGACAGGCTCACGCCTGTCCGACTCTGATGACGCGGTTTCCGCTGATGGTTGGACGATGGTGAAGGTTCCTGAGACGGTGAGAACGCGCATTAGGCGACGGAGGCCGGGAAGCTTACATGGGCGGACACCAATCTCTCCTAGTATTTGGGAGAGGGTGGCGGCGCCACCGTGGCGGTGGATGGCATCGGCGATGCGGAGGTCCAAAGCAACGGCGAGCGCCACAGACTTCATAAAGCTGTAGGTCTGGTTCCACAGCTCGATGTGGGCTTGGAGCAACTCCCTAGTGTCCTCGCTGCGGAGTGCCATTGTATTGTGTTGTGGCCTCCGGGTACGGTGGATTACTATGTTTGGAGAGACTAAAACTCAAGTGTTAGCTTGCATCAACACGATGTATATATCATTGCGCTCTCATGACACAAAGAAAAAGAAAATCGATCAGGCCCTGCAGACAGCTCACTCACCTTTTAGTTAACAGCGCATGCAACTAGCTTGTTTTATTATATAATTGCGTATGTCCTTGTCACAAGATTGGATGCAATAAACTAAAGGTTATATATGCTTACCCAGTGGCAGAAGTAAAACAAGAAATCCAATTAATCAGGATGTGGCGCCGAGCCCCCGGCGTCATATCCCCCGCAGGGCATTCAAGAGGCCAATCTGAAGGCCCCGGCTCGCCAGAGATCTGGTTCGGCCTGGGGCCATGCTCGCCAGGGGAGGACACTGATGAACCCATGGCTCCTCAAATTATTTCAGCTTGCAAGACTTCTATGGCTTCTCAAATTATTTCATCTTGTGAGACTGCTAATTATTCTCATCTGCAGTTTGGATCATTTTTCTTTGGTGAGATGCCAAATTGTACGAAAGTTCTTGCCAGTGCTGCTAATATGTCCACGCTAATATTTAAAGGAGCTAATTCGCGCACGAAACAATGTAATGTAAGCTGTGGAGATTGGATTTTTGTGGTGTTGTTCTCGGTCGAGATGCCGCTCGTGAAAAACAGTAGACGGTGTTTCGATCAGGTTCTTCATTTTGAAGATTATCTTCCGGTTCCTTCTGGATCTGCGTGGAGTGCGTCATCAAGCTGCGACTGTTTGGGTGCGTCACTTGAAATTCTCGGAATTCCTCATCTTCTAATTATGGTTCATCAAGGCCGCAGGTGGAAAAATTATCCTAGAGTTTAGATTGCATCTAATTGTAAGCCGATCGCTATATCTATCATTGATATCACTACTGCTCGTATTGTTTTCTCTCACAACTGTGGAAAGGAATTACGGCTACGCTTATTGGTGTTACTACTGCTGGTTTGGGAGATAGAGTTATTTTATTCTGGTAACTATTGAAAACCTTTGTTTCGTTCAGCTATTTTTGGTGAAAGAGGAAATTCTGTTTCGACAAATTGTTTCTTGCCGTATAGCATGAGTTTGTTCTCTATTTCTTGCTACGTGACATTGAACTGCGTGATCGTCCTGTGCTGCTGTACTCTTTGGTGTTGGCCATTAAACTAATCTCAACCAATAGCCTGGTATCATAGCTGAAGGATGTCAACATTGTTTTCTTCGGATATTCTATTAGCTTATGCAGATTTGCCTTGCTGCTGCTCACGTTAGCTGATCGATGAGAGGAGACATTGCACACCATAGTTAATGAATTTATAATCAAATCGTGCGCAATGCATGGACGCATGTCCTACGATTGAATATTTCACTAGGTTCGTGGACTTAATATACAAATTCAAATAGTTGGCATCATTAATACAACTATCTCGAAGCGAACTCTACGTGGTCACGTTCTCTCCATAATGGACTACATTTATATAAATAATAACCCAGTGGCAGAAGTAAAACAAGAAATCCAATTAATCAGGATGTGGCGCCGAGCCCCCGGCGTCATATCCCCCGCAGGGCATTCAAGAGGCCAATCTGAAGGCCCCGGCTCGCCAGAGATCTGGTTCGGCCTGGGGCCATGCCTCGCCAGGGGAGGACACTGATGAACCCATGGCTCCTCAAATTATTTCTGCTTGCAAGACTTCTATATATGGCTTCTCAAATTATTTCATCTTGTGAGACTGCTAATTATTCTCATCTGCAGTTTGGATCATTTTTCTTTGGTGAGATGCCAAATTGTACGAAAGTTCTTGCCAGTGCTGCTAATATGTCCACGCTAATATTTAAAGGAACTAATTCGCGCACGAAACAATGTAATGTAAGCTGCAGAGATTGGATTTTTGTGGTGTTGTTCTCGGTCGAGATGCCGCTCACGAAAAACAGTAGATGGTGTTTCGATCAGGTTCTTCATTTTGAAGATTATCTTCTGGTTCCTTCTGTATCTGCGTGGAGTGCGTGATCAAGCTGCGACTGTTTGGGTGCGTCACTTGAAATTCTCGGAATTCCTCATCTTCTAATCATGGTTCATCAAGCCGCGGGTGGAAAAATTATCCTAGAGTTTAGATTGCATCTAATTGTAAGCCGGTCCCTATATCTATCATTGATATGACTACTGCTCGTATTGTTTTCTCTCACCACTGTGGAAAGGAATTACTGCTACGCCTTTATTGGTGTTACTACTGCTGGTTTGGGAGATAGAGTTATTTTATTCTGGTAACTATTGAAAACCTTTGTTTCGTTCAGCTATTTTTGGTGAAAGAGGAAATTCTGTTTCGACAAATTGTTTCTTGCCGTATAGCATGAGTTTGTTCTCTATTTCTTGCTACGTGACATTGAACTGCGTGATCGTCCTGTGCTGCTGTACTCTTTGGTGTTGGCCATTAAACTAATCTCAACCAATAGCCTGGTATTATAGCTGAAGGATGTCAACATTATTTTCTTCGGATATTCTATTAGCTTATGCAGATTTGCCTTGCAGCTGCTCACGTTAGCTGATCGATGAGAGGAGACATTGCACACCATAGTTAATGAATTTATAATCAAATCGTGCGCAATGCATGGACGCATGTCCTACGATTGAATATTTCACTAGGTTCGTGGACTTAATATACAAATTCAAATAGTTGGCATCATTAATACAACTATCTCGAAGCGGCCTCTACGTGGTCACGTTCTCTCCATAATGGACTACATTTATATAAATAATAACACAATCAGCTCTTATGGTATCAATGAGAACCCATGGGCCATGGGCCTGCCGACCCAGGCTCCCCATCGTGCCTTTATGCACTCACTGATTGTCACTAATCATGGTTAATCAAGCATTATCCAAACCCAAATACTCTCTCATGGTATCAATGAGATGGTTCACTCCTGCAACCTCTCCTCGCTTCCACAAACCCTACCCCCGCCGCGGAGCCCCCTAGCTAGCCCGATTGCTGCCACTGAGTCCTCTCGCTGACCCACCTCCCTACTGCCGTCCCATCTTACTGACCGCGTGTGCCTCTCCTTCCACTTTGTCGCCGCTGATGAGATCGCACGAGGCCTCCATGGCGCGTGACGCAACCGCCGAGCATCTTCGCCTCTAGCGCAAGGCCGAAGCCACCCATAAGAAGGCCGCCGAGGATCGCACCACCGCCCTTGACACGTACGAGGACAAGCATGCCACAGTGCACGTGCAGGCCCTTGCCATCCTCAACATCTAGGTGCTTGTCCCCGTGATGTTGCATCGCCCGCCAACAACTACAGCTGGTGGCGCACCCTCTTCCCCATCATCCTGGGTAGGTATGCCCTCACGGATCACATCCTCTCTGATGTGGCCAACTTCGATCGCTCGGCATGGGTGCAAATTGACTGCAACGTCCTCACCTGGATCTACGGCACCATCATTGGCGATCTTTAGCAGATGGTGATGCTTCGCAACTCGAGCGCCAGCATTGCTTGGTTGGTTCTCAAAACCAAGTTCCTTGGCCAGCGTGAATCGCGTTCTCTCCTCCTCTCAATTGAGTTCCGCAGGGTCAAGCAAGGGGCGACGTCAATCATAAACTTTCGCCATCGCCTCAAGACAATGGCTAGCGCCCTCACCAAGTTCGGGGATCTAGTCGGCGTTCAGACCCTCATGCCAACGCTCCTTCATGGGCTCAACGACAAGTTCCGTCATATGGTCTCTAACTTGAAGATACAGCTGTTCCCGACCTTCAAGGAGGCACGAACCCTGCTCCTTCTCGAAGAGATCGACATTGACGCCGCCGCCGAGAATGCTCCTCCTCCCACCTTCATCACCGTGACCTATGCCCCTCAGTGCTAGGTGGATCTGTCAATGGTGTCCCTGCGCATGGCGGATGGGATGTCGTGCCTGGTGGCTCGCCATCCAACCCGAGTAACCTGCGCTCCAACAACCATCGCTGCAAGCGCTGCGGAAAATTTGCTGCTCCTGGCAATGGCGGTTTCAGCTCTAGCGGTCCATGTCCTGGCGGCTTGCCTCCGCTCACCTAGATTGCCAACCTGTGGGTGGGCACTGTGCAGCTGTGGCTGCACCCAAACAGCCCTAGTGCCCTATCTGGGTCAGCACCACACCCACCATTCTCACTGTTTGAGCCACAGGCGGCCTTCATCGCTTTGCCTAGGGGGCATGCCTGCCTCGACGCCTGCTTACGCTGCGGCTGCACAGTAGCCACTGTAGCCCTCTTGGACGCAAATGGTTGGCGGCTCTTGGGACAAGGTGTCATTGATAAACAACTTCAATAACATGTCCCTGACGTCGTTGCTATCTTTAACTGAGTGGTATGCTGATTCAGGGGCTGGCTCTCACATGGACAACTGATGAGGACATCACTCCTTCGGATGTTCCCACTCATCCTCCAACCATTATGCAAGGTCCACTGACCCGAGCACGAATGCGCCAACTAAATTTAGAGGTGAGCGCGTTCTTAAGTGATCCTTTTCAAAATTTTGAGAATAGATTACTACCTAATGATGTTATCTTGGTTAGGAACATTGGAGAGGGTTGTGAGGAACTTGGAGAAAGGTGTGGAGTTAGAGAAGACCAGCAAGGACGTCCAACAGAAGCTGGAGGCCAAGTCCAACTCGACTTCGAGTCTGCCTTGACCTTCAGGACCAGTCTGCAATGAAACGGATGCCAATGGAATTGGTTTGAGGTCCAAATTCAACCGGAGTAAACAGAAATCGTTAAAACAAGTCAGCATCCAGAATCTGTTAGGTGGTGCATCATCGCTTTTGGTCCGTTGGGCCGTGTATCGTCTTTGAGCCCGTTGGGGGCGCGCGTTCAGAGGAAGCAGCGACCCTTAGACCTTATAATGAGTCATCGCCGCCATCGTTAGGTTTTGGGTTTTGCTTAGATTAACCTATCTTTGACAGTCGCTGACTGTCGATTTGTCGAATCCACTTTGAGAACTTAATCAT